CCAATCACAACGCACTGGATAGCTGGCCAATCAGAGCACACCTCGCTTTTCAGACCGATGAGCTTTGTAAAAAACATTTCAGAAAGGCGGGGCATAGAGGAGAAACAATAATGTACAGTATGTGGAAAATGTGTTTTTTGAACCTTAAACCGCATAAACACATTTCATTACACCAAATACACAAAATAATGTTCTTTTTAGCAACATCATATGACCCCTTTAAGATAAAATGGTCATAGATGTTGGGATTAGGGATGCACCGATGTATCGGCCGTCGATATTTATCAGCCGATTTTTGATTACATCGGCATATCGGAAATAGCAGACACCGATGGTTTATTAATTAACTGCATGGAGACAACGAGTTGCATGTCTATTGCATAATCCAATGTTTTTCTCTGGGCAAAATAATTAAATACTTGCCAAAACAAAATAAAATCTGTACAAAATAGTTTGTCAGATGGCATAGTACGGCCATATGCAAACGTGACGCTGACGCATCCAAAGAGTGAAATGCCCGCGCTCAGCTGTAAATTCATCATAGGTAAGTCGCAATGGCAATGCACTGCCATTAGAGTTTATCCAAGGATATGTCACGAACCGCCAAGCATTAGGCCTACATTTAAGTGAAAATGAATGGCAGGTAATATGCAGCTTTTTGTTTGAAACCAGTGTAGAACACGGATTCACACAAGGTCACATCACGCACATGCAGCGTTTCTGTGAACAAAGAAAACAGAATAAAACTATATAGGCTACATAAAAAGGAATAGGCCTATACACAAAATATATTTCACTTAAATCATTAACAGATTAACAAAACGAAAGAAAAAAAATTGTACTGAGTTTCGGATAATTGTAACGCGCTCCGAAGTTCACGGAAAAAAACGGGACTGCAGAAAGCGGTTTTCTTTTTCTTTTTTTTACAAAAGCTTTAGTTTTGAATGATGTTTTGCTCCTATCTGTATGACAAACCAGCGTGTTGGTATGACCATAAATTACGGAGTAACAGTTGGGAAAACAATGCAGTGATCGCATCGGTGCCTCACACACACATACAACAAATTTTTGCTAATTTGACATCGCAGCTTGTTCATTATCAAAATAAAATACAGTTAAAAAACATAAAAAGTTACACTGCTGAATTGAAATAGTCCGTAGTACAGTCTGTTCCGTTCAGTGTGACCAGCCCCTCACTGCTGATATAGCTTATATGTGAACGATGATGTTTTATGTCGATAATGCGAGTGAAGAACAAAGCCTATAGTTTACATAATAAATAATAGGTTAGCATCCAGATACTTCGCGAATATGGAAACATTTGGATTTGTGCAGAATGAGAGAGGTAGTTTTTTAATTAATTAGTTTTGGCATGACGCTTATATAGCCTAAATACAACTTTAGAGGATTTGTTGTGGAGAGAAGGGAACTAAAATAGCCTAATTGTGTTTGTAATTTTGCTTTTATTTACCATTATTTTAGCCTACATTATTTCTGAATGTAATGCAACGTGCAGCCTACTAATTTAGGCTGTTTTTTTCCCTCTCAAAATTAACGCTTATATGAGTAGAGTTTTTTTAATTTTTCTATCCATGCTGAAACATTTTTAAATATCTTGAAAAAAATTATTTAATGTTTTATTGCGTTGACAGTTTTTTCTTTTGTTTAATACATTTGGTCTTTGGTAAATCTAGAAAAAATGATGTATTGGCTATGACTAAGAGAGATCATTCAAGACTCTCTAATTAAACGCTGTACATTATTATTATTAAAACGCTGTACATTATTATTATTATTATTATTATTATTATTATTATTATTATTATTATTATTATTGGCAAAGAAAAAGTAACGTTATTAACCGGTATGTTTTCTACTCAAACCAGATTCACAGAGGAACGCAGGAACAGAAACGTTCAAATACCGATTCTGCTTGGAGTGAACCAAACTTTTTTCTCTCTCTCTCTCGTTTTTAAGCCCTGCTTTATGCAATTGACCAATATCCGTATCAGAATCGGCCAATAGTTGTTTGTTAAAATCGGTATGGCCAAAAAAAATCCTATCGGTGCATCCCTTGGGATCACACCAGTCCATCACTCACTGAATAACTGACATTCTAAATTGTTCAAATAAAGGCTTATGAATAACAAATGATCAACTACAAAAAAATAATCTATTCATTTTATGTTTTGGTGCAATGCTGAAGCACAATGCTGTGAATAGAGAAAAACCATCTAGCGTTGACATCGACAAATTAATATAGCAGCAAAACTGCAATAAAATAAATAAATAAAGGCTCAATTAAATTTGATGGAAATAAGGAGATGTTATATATAAATTCCAAGTGACGCTTCACAGAAGAGACCATCAAGTCCCAGAAGGGTGCTGCCCGCAAGTCCTGAAAACAGCTAGTCTAAACACTTAAGTAAAGAGGTAATTAAGGAAAGTGTGGTATCCATTTCACGCAATCAAGTAAATAAGGTTGCAACGAACAGTGTTGACAACAGTATACTGTCTCCTGTGAAGTGCCTTGAATTAATGTGGAGATTACGTGGCTTGCTAAAAAGCCCTATAGTGATCAGCATGAAACTGCCAAAATCATATTAATTTCCTTGATATAGGCTGATCTGGCAAAAGTGAAAATATAATATCACGCAGGTGACCTTTATGTGCTTATGTTTTTTGCTCCATTGCACAAAAGGAGAGAATGTATTCAGGAATTAATGGAGCCAATGACCTTATACATACCATTAAAAATCATGGCAAATAACTCCTTGAAAAAAAACACAAGCATACTCTATGTAGACTCTGACTACTTACTACTGGCATAGAAAGCAATACTAGCCCATGAGTAATTATGTGATGACAACTCAGAGAAGAGAGATTGATTCAGTGAAAGTGAAACCCCTCCTGAGGTCTCACACAGGATGGTGCCACTCACAGAAAGCATTCATAATGACGTGGCTTTATTAAAAAATGACTTGGGTCGTGTTATGCATGATACAGGGTTTTATTGGTGACATGAACACACTTTTATCAAGTGTTACAAACATCTGCTAAATGCCAATTACTGCAAAAATGCATTACGTTCAGGTGAATGAGGTTTATGCTTATGTTCCATCACACAAAGTCTTCTTAATATTCACAGGCTCAAAAATGAATGTCACAATAGCTAATTTTACAGTATCTAATTAACTTTTTTCTGCCCAACATCAATTTCTGCTACTGAAAAAAATATAAAAATGTTTTGTCAATTAATCAACAAAATCTTGTAACATCTAAATGTCTTAAGTAAAAAAATTAATAAATAAATAAAAACAAAAATTTAAAAAAACATGAACATCAACCTGGCAACGTTCTATTATGTTCAATTTTGTACACATCATCGCAGTTCAGAAATAACATTTTCAGTAAGGGGCGCTAAAGGTTAATGCTCTATTGAGTTTGAAAATAAACATACCACCTACACTAAAGCTTACCCTAAATCTACCTGATGGTGTTAATAAAAGCAAACACATTGAGTAGTAGTACTTATTTACTTTTATTGCCATGCCAAAGGCTATCTTCATGGCAAAAACTGAGTTGGAATAATACAAGAGTTACATAAACACAATAAAAACCAAATAAACAAAAAATACAGCATTTAATATTAGGCCTATATAAGATTTTTTTAATTAACATATGATAAATCTAAAATCTTTTCAGGTAAAATCTTACTAAACAATTTCCTGAGTTACCGCACTTCATAAAAATGTTTTCTACATTTACTAAAGCTGCCATGCCATCTTTGCTTGCTTCTACAAACCTCTGAGCTCTTTTATCATGACTTGTGTTTTCACGGGACACATACTTATGCTCTCTGCGTCACAAGTGCCATGCTTTACCAGGTGAGCTACTGAGCCAGTTTACTAGTTAGTGGGGAATGAGTAACTGGAATACATAAGCACTTCTTGGATAGTTTGCAGGAGTGAAATTGCCTATTGGTGCCATCTTTGGCACATCAATCTTAATTGTCAACAATATTCGATATCCTGTAATTTTATATCAATTATTCAATAATCAAAATAATTTAATATTCAATATATTGCCCAGCCCTACACTGGTGGAAATGCCAGTGAATTGTATATGTATAGGGATGTTTTTGGAGTTTTGCAAAAATGTAGATAGAGGCACATTTTTCCAATGAGCCTAGGTTGGAAACAAACTGAGTACACCGAGTTAGACCAATGAAAGTTTTTTTTTTAGGGTCCAGATAGTGCCATAAAGAAATAAGTATCCATTTCTAATGTCAAATGTACATATTTTCAGGGAATAGACCACCAATTACCCAAATCAAAAATGACAAGGTAATTACAGCTATTGCCTCTGGTATCTCCTGCCCTGGTTGGCTTGATTCTGGGATAAAAAAAAATGAAAGAACAGCATTATAAATAGCTGACAAACGGGGTCACATGCCAAGACAGTAGCTTCTACACCTGAAACTTGCTCACCAAGACAGAAACAAAGCATTACTGTGTATATGGAATGAAGAATGCAAGGACTTTAGTGAAAACAAACAACCTCTACATGTGGATGACCCAACACAGGAGAACGGAACCCTCCAGGCAGGTAATAGGTAGTAGCCCCACAAACAACTACAGAAAAAAGGCAAATGTTCGGCAGATAATGCTATAGCAGAACGTAAGCTTCTCTGCATCACTTGCATAAAATATTATTCTATTTGGTACATTAACCATTCAAAAAGTCCTCACATTAGCACCTGCCTCTTATATCATCTATTACTTATATATATGGTTTACTTGGTACACATGATAAACACACACTTATATATACACATTTTAAACAAATATTTATGTATCATGTCATGTATGTATGACAGATGCTGTGCTTTATATAACCTTAAGCTGGCATAAAACAGATCTATTACTTATATATATGGTTTACTTGGTACACATGATAAACACACACTTATATATACACATTTTAAACAAATATTTATGTATCTCAGTATGTAACTGTGACGTCTGCACACTGACAGATGCTGTGCTTTATATAACCTTAAGCTGGCATAAAACAGTTACAAAAACCCAATGTGGTGCGAGCGTGGCAAACTACTTCTGCTTTTGATACTTTCACTTTCTGCACTGTACAACACCTACAACGTTGATAGGAGGATCTTATATTATTACGGCACTTCCTCATCAACTCCTTGAATTAATAGTTTACATCCTTTTGATATAGTATACCAAATGACCCAAAGTTTATTTCCAGCGGTCTGCCAGTATCCACATCTAATGCAACAACATTTGTTTGAATTAGAGCTTGTCACAATTTAGCACTCATGGTAATTATGCAAATTCAGTTATACCAAGATGATGAAACTCAAACATAATTTGTGTTGATCTCGGCCATGATGGATTATTCATGAGAAACTACTGCATCTCTGGGATTATGGGCTTGTCTGTTCTTTTCACTGACATCTAACAAAAGTGATCTCCTTGCGAATTTCCATCTTTGAATGGTTTGTTGTATCAAATATCAGGGTTATCTGGCATATCAGATATTAGAGCTACCCTGTTTTCTGTTAAGAAAATACAAAAACACAAAAATGACAAAGAAAGGGTGCAAACAAATGAGGCCACGTGACGTCTATATTACATAGAAACATGGATCCTTCAGTGAAAGACATTGAGTGCAGGTTGCAGCTCTACAAACAGGAAATGTGCTACTTCCTGTAGAAGGCAAGGTGCAATGATTTTTCATAGAGAGCCTGCCAGCTAATTTCCTGCTTATAATGCAAGGCACCTCCTCTAAGAACAAGAGTGACATTTGCAAACCAGTTCAAACAGAAGATGACAAGGAACTCCCCATTTTTAATTCAGAACACATAAATGGGTTACATTTTTGCTGTGGCAAACGTGAACATTTTAGGATTGCCAAATACATGTACATGCATTAAGAGTTTGTGTTTGGTGTTGGAATTACTATTAAGACATGAAAACAAATCAATAAATAATATGATACAACCAACCACTTTTAACCAACAGTACTTGAAACTCCAAGGCCTTATTTAAAAGCAACGATTGAAAAGACAAGATCCACAATTCTGCTTACATAACTCTTTCCAGGACCTTCTTATCAGTACTGGTACTGCTTCAGTGAGCCTAAAGTGCTTTCCTGGACAACTCATTTTTAATTAGCATATTTATCATAAAATTTGCATGACTATAGGGAGCAAATTTTATAGGGAGGGCTCGTTTTTACTAAGGTCTAGTAGCTTTGCAGGTATTACTCATCTAAATGGCCTCGAGCTAAAATTTCAGTTTGGTATCACATCTGACTTCATTGTGAAATGAGGTTGCAAGTCCCATTTTGCCAAAGAAAAAACTGTCTGTCTCTCATCTAAATCTGGTGGAGAAGTCTTAAATATGTTGGCAAAGTTAAGGGTTTGTATAGTAAACAGGTCAATAGATTGAAAAGACTGCCCTTTCAAGAATAAGAGCAATGGTGTTCTTCTCATGTTTTCTTTCACCAGACAATATTGTGCATTAGACACAAGACTTGAGTAAGACGAGACGTTCCCACTTGACGTCAAGCTTTCACAGACTAACCCAAATCCACTGCTAACTGAAAGTACCATGAACTTCCGCTAGCAGAATGTAGTGTAGAGACAAACATTCATTCAGTAAACAAACCGTCAGCTTTTCTTGTACTGTCTTGTAATGTCAACTTAAGACCAGTAAGTAAATGACATTCTACTATAAATAAATCAAAAATATTTCAAATTGACACCAAATCTCATCTATCAAATATTCACAGCTTTCAAGCAAATCATTACACAAACATGACCCAAAAGTGTGACCCCTGGAGAGTGACGTAAATAAAACCACACTTGAACCCACTGGCATTCATGATAATGATAAAGTTTATATAAAGTATAAACTTTAATTTCCATCAGCTGGATTCAGATTCACAGGGTAAAAACGGCATTGTGAGCGAGAGAGAGAAAGAAAGAAAGAAAAGTACATGACATTATCTTCTCCAAAAGACAGGTTCAGATTGCTCCGGGTTGTTTACTAGCATACAATAATGAGTTTATTCTTTTTTTATGTGAGGAACACAGCAGCTAAAAATGGCTGCCTATTCATCACTGTAAAAGTGATTTGTCAATGTCTAATATGTCAATGACAGTGTTCAAGGTAATTAATTAGATGTAAATACAATCTATTGTTAAATACAGTGCAGCTAGAGACTGCTTATGCTTAAGGTGGTACATATTTATCAATGCACAGGAATTCATAATCACTGCTGACCACAACAGAAGTGAGCAATGACAATGAAGAAGAGGTTATTGTCCTCATTGATGGGGTATAATGTGAAGAGAGAACACACATGAACCTCAATCCAATTAAAGCCTTGGACATCATGACCAAAACACCTATTACGCCATCATTGTTTTATAGTTTCATAGTTCAAAGTTTTGTCATTGTTTGCTCATCCTCATGTTGTTCTAAACCTCTATAACTTTCTTCAGTGGAGCGCAAATGAGATGTTAAGTCAGGATGGCAGCTTCACTCTCCTTTCACTTTCATTCCATCTTTTTCCAAAAATAAAAGTGAATGGATATGTCATTCCGCCTGGCAGCATCTTTTGTTTTCCACAGAAGCAAGCAAGGTTTTGAACAACATGAGGCTGATAAAATGATGATGAAATGTCCATTTTTGTGAACTGAACACTGACAAATATACTTATAGTTAATAACTCAAAACATAAACACGGCAGGGGTGTTGATGTACAGCAATTGTTTACATTCAGAGCATAGCTGGCTCTATGATATTTACCTTTTAGGTCCTTTTGAGTAGGTGAAGGTGAACGTGGAGTCGGAGAATCGAAAGTCTGAAAAAAACAGACAATCAAACTTGGGGTTTTTGAACAATATAACACACTGGACCACAAAAAATCCCTTTCAACTAGTGTAGTCTCCATGGCAACATCAACAGGGAATGTCCACCGACAATGAATATAGGAGAATTAAATTGATAGCTGATAAATGTGTGACGCTCAACAATAGTAAGGCGTGGGCTAATTTCATTGAAAAATCATTCACATCACAAAACAACACCTGAGAGGAATGTTAATGCCTTTATTAGGATGATAAGAGCAGAATATGTGGTAGTAATAATAAAGGCAGTTTACGTTTTGCTAGGCCCTCAGTTGCAGTTGATTATTGAATAATTTATAATGTCCAGGAAAGATTAAATTGCCTACGCTGGAGCACATTAGCCACATACGGGTTTTGAACAAATCGGGCTTTTGTGTGGAGGAAATAAAGCATCAGCAGTGAGACTGACAGCCTGTCAGTTGTGTTGATTAAATCCATGGCAATTGTTAAAGGAAGACAGCTCTCTTAATAAGAAGAGACAATGGAAACTCACCAAAAAACAGGCAGTCTTTCTCTGCCTTACACTTTTGAATTACGATGTCGACGTCTTTTTGAATCCTCTCTTGCCTTGAACACATCCCCATGAAATAACACACACTAGAATGGCTTCTCTAACTAATATTCAGCGAAACAAACGAATCCTTTCCGCTTGCAGGCACGATGGCTGTGGGGAACAGTAGAAATACGTGCTTGGAGGTCTGCTGTAACAATCCCAGGTGTGTCACGCCAACCGACACCGTTTCATCTCCTCTAACAATAGCCTCGATCGCATGAGCACAGCGGAGAGCTCTTCCTCGCGACAGCTTTCATGGAGATATCACTTTTACACCGGAAGCATCTCTCAGTCGTCCTCATAACGCTTCTGCTGAACCCAACAATGGCGACGTCGAAAGCTAAACCACGGAGCGAAAAAAAAGATACCGCATGTAAAACCAACGCGGCGGGCGTGAGCTTCAGACCGTAACGGAGGAGCTGAAGTTGCACACGGGGGAAATCAGTGTGGGAATCCTGTGATAGCATCCACGAGATGAGCCCGGTGGGAACGGGAATCACAACAAGGCGGATGATGTCATGAACGTGTTTTCTCCTCACGCGCCCTCTCTGCTGCTGGACCTGCTCGCTATCACTGGCCTCTGATTGGCATGGAATAAAAAGCGATTATATTCATCTTATCGTTGCTGATTTTTAATTAAGCAGTATCACAACACGAACATTGTCATTTAGATTACCTAAAGACAAAGCACATCTGATATTAGAACAACGGCAACATTGCAAGTGTGATATTACTTTTATACCAGCAAAACAAAACAAAACAAAACAAATAAAGTTGTGCTTCAGACTTTGTGTCACCCATCAAACCACAGACTGAAAGCCGGTCTGAACTATGGATCGGTGTAAATGAAGCAGTCTGTTGTAATCAGTCAGCTGGAGCTCCACTCCAGGTTTTGCATTTCACACTCTCCTCACACTAATGAGAGAAACCCTACTCCGAGAGACTCCAGCAAAACCCATAGTGATCGTTGTTTACACTTGTATTCTATGTAGCTACTAGCTAGCTACCGTTGTTGTAATGCTGTATTAAAAAACAGCGACCTAACAAATTCACTGAACATCGTACCTTTGGGGATTCAAAGCGAGAATATCCTAACTCTGGTAATACAAAATATTCACAGCTTTATTCTTAAATTAAAAAAAAAATGAGAAAATGGCAGTTAAGAAAATTTGTTTAGTGTTGTTTTATGCATCTGCTCTCTGATTTTCCAAAAAGTTTGCACTGCTTCCACTCTGCACTGCAACAGTCTGACAGGTGGTGTCATGCTAGGGATTGTTAAAGGACATGACAACCTTGGCATTTGTATCGTTGGAGAAAGCCTTGAGATGTCAGCTTGGATCACAATCATATAATGGCATTGATACCATTGAATGCTTTCAGAGCTTAACAGTTAGACTCGTTTGCAGATTCCATATCTGATCAGAAATTAATCCTACCAATTGCAAAAACAGTGTGACCTCTTATATAAAACAGCTTTATTTAATAACAAATCACTCCAAAATAGATGTCATGTTGAATATTAGCAGACAGGCAGTCAGTCAATTTATTATGTGGCAAGCTGTTTCCACAGTGTTCACGATTAATCCACCTCAAACGCATTGTTTTAACATTGCATTTTGTCTGCAAAGCGACAAAGAATTTACCCACTAAACTGTATGTGGAATGGGTCATGCAATCAATAGGAACACCTCACAACACACTTCATCACCCTTCTCTCACTGCTTGCACCCATCATTCTTCTCACATTGACATTATGAACGCTGAACAGTTTCATTCCAGTCTACAATTTTCACACGTCTTCTCTCACAAGGATAAATGTGTATCATAACACTAGCAAAATGGTTTTTGAATTAGCATGATTTTTGCACATATATACTTGATGTATTGTAGAAATAGCCTAACGTGGTACATGAATATGATAATGCGGTTATAATCGCTGTACCATAGTACTTCTTGGGCAAGGCAAACAGCAGACTAACATTGATTTGTTGTTTTTATTCATCATTGATCACAGCTGATTGTTGAAAATAATAACCATAATGATATTTTTATTTAGTTGTTCTAAATTAGCATCAAACATTTGCATGAATGAAACTGAGACTGTGTTCACACCAGAGAGGAAAAGCTGTAGAGGGGTACGGTTTAGGCCACAGTAGCCTGTCCAGCCTGAAGATGGATGGCTGTGTTAGTGGCACTTTGATTAACAGCTCCATCCGGACTTTGGCTGGTGGCTCACCAGTCTGGAGCTGCTCCAAGGAGACCCCACTAGCCCAGCTGTGCTGAAGCAGGCAAGGCCTCGGCTGATGACTGCAGTGGCAGGAAAATCCATCTTCCTGCACTGAGCCTCGAATGTATTTCCCCCTTCTACGTACACTGTGTGATTGAGGATTTAGTGCATGTTCTGATGAATACACTCACAAACACACTCATCATTTTCTCTTTCACCTAAATGGCACCTCATCTCGATGCAACGTTGATGGAATTAACGCTGCTGATGTGCAATACAAAACTTCGCTAATGATTCTTCTCCGTGCCACCATCAACACATCATTCAGTGCTCCTTTCGATGATTTCACCATTATGAGGGTGATAAAAGAGCCCTGGTGAATTTCAATGCAGCATATTTTGGAGGGAAATTCTACTGATAGACCCCTTCAGGAAATAAACACATACGAGACAAGTGTATGTATTTACTGCCAGCTGGCTAAAGATAAGAGGAGAATTTGACAAAAGAGAGCAAAAATGAACAATATAAGCAGGCAGACAGAGGAGAGCAGCATTTCCTGTTTTTGTGGGGCGTCCCACATCATTTGAGTTGACTCCATGCTGAACTCAATTCATTAATCCTAATTTCACAGGAAGTCAAACAGTTGATCACTGTGAGCGTAGGCCTACATATGCACTCTGGCGCTCTTTATTATCAGGTCTGCATGCTAGATAAAGTTTGTTTAAGAGGCTGGATACATCCAATTTACCAGTAATCCTCTTTCTTCATCATCTTTAAAGGTTTTGCATTGGATATGTTGAGACACAAGTTTGTCTTCAGCGCTTAATCATTCAGCAGAACTTAAATCAGCAGAATTTACAGCAGGTCCATTTTGGGAGTCACTCCTGCTTCAAAAGACTGCTTGCCTTAGAAATTTATATTTGACACATCTTTAATGTATTTGCCCTTATCAACAGCACCCAGGAAATTGGCTTTTTATATGAAATACTGTAATCTTTTAATTTAATAACCTTTTTGTTTTTTTCAGGAAACGTTATTGCCCTGGTACGTAATGGGAAATATGATTAGTTATGTGTATCCTCACATTTCTGCAGGAAAGGTGTGTGTGTGTGTGTGTGTGTGTGAGTGAGGGAGGGACCTCTTTTATTCGAGTGGCTCACTTCTGCAATATTTCTGTCATGAACAACATTAGCAATCTGGGACTTGATGTCCCAAAATTAAAAGTCTAAGGATGAAGCGATCTGTGGAAAATTGTCACTTTCTACCTCCCTTTCCTCAAAACCAATATGTTGAATGAGTGTTTAGATCCCAGATGTGCAATAAGGTCACAGTTAGATGGGCAAAGAGCCGGTCCTTAACCAGTAGGCATGTGTGTGTAATGTGTTAGCCAAGTTGGGATTCGTTCATTCGCGCGATGGTCTCATTTCCCTTCCCTCCCTCTCTGTAGACTGACTCTGGAATGAGACCAGCATTCCAAATATCCATGACTGTGAGTGATGTAAAACATTAGCTTAGCTTGCAGGAATCACTGTTCTGTGACACACAGTGAGGAGACAGATCTGGATGATTCCTCACGGAGCAATACTATATAAAATGCAAGCCCAAATTGTAAAAGACTCCTGAATGACTCGTTTCATTATTTTGATGGGTTTAAGACATTGCCTGCAATACAAATCTGTATGTCAACCTCAAGAAGTCTTGATTCACATTTAAAGTTCATGATCATCTATAAATCAGCGTGACCTTTTAGAGAGAGTCTTCATTGCTTTGTTTTAGTGAAATGTTTATTGATGTTTCTGTTCATTTCCAAGTTGAAATAAGAACAATCAGACAGCTTCAGATATGTTATTTTGTGCTACTAATTCATCTGTCTCTTGGTAATATGGTGAATACTAATAGTGGTTTGGTCCAGTGTATGTTTTAGGCTTCTAAATCACCCTAGATTGTTACAGTGTGTTAATATTTTGCATACTGTTGGACCTACCCTGTTGAAAAAACCGGCATATGCTGGTTAGGTATGTTTTGAAGCATGGCAGCTGGTTTAAGATGGTCCTTAGCTGGTCATGTGCTGGTCCATAGCTGGTTAGCTCCTGCTCATGACCAACTAAGGACCAGTTAAATCAGCTGCCATGCTTCAAAACATGCCTAACCAGCATATGTTTTTTTTTCATGTTTTTTTTTTTCAACAGGGTATGCATTTTGAGGTAATGGTTTATTCCAGTGTTTGATTTATGATCTTGTATACAAAACAATTTTACTATAACAATTTGGGTCATCACTTGATGTTAACTGGTCATGAAGCAAAACCAACTGAAAACCACTGCCCTAGAAACATATACATGGTCTATGTGCTTATCAAAAAAACATAATTCTCACCATGTAATTCCATTTGGAGTGCACAAATTACAGAAAGTTTTATAGAAAGTTAATTTGCAGAATGACAGAAAAGTATTTCTTTAAAAAAGGAACAAAGGAGATTGAGTGGGGGCACAGGACTCCCAAGGGGGAGGCATAAAGTCAACTTCACATGTTAGATTACTTCAAAGCGTGAGACAGTGAAATGGAAAATTTCAAGTGCTGTTTCCCTCTAGAGTATTTTGAGCTTAGCAGTGGAAAAAAAACAAGTTACTTTTTTAAGTTTGTTATTATTAATATTAAGTAATTTACTGGTGGTGGTAAAATCACACCATGCTAAAAACAAGCCTTTAACAAAAAACAAAGATGTTAACAAACTACAGGTTTTTTTTCTTTCTTTATGTCATATCATTCAGTGTTCAAACACGTTTATATGTGGAATAATGCTTATACTTAGACACTATATAAAGAAATAAACATTTACTGTAACATTAGTTCCTAATAAATTAATTTGTGACATAATAATACAAAAATTATTGTATTAAAATTTTGCATTTTGTCTAGTGGTCTTTTGGACCCCCTCAATGTTAAACCTACTCACTTTTTCCATTCTAGCTGTTCGGTCAAAGAGACTGAACCCACCCACACAGTTACCATTTCTTCTCTTTGTCTGACGTGTAAACGTCACATCCAAAAACAAGGTTATCTATCAGAGGTTTCACTGCAGTCCTTACAAAAAAAATGCATACATCTAAAACCACACACACAAAATAATGTATATTTTTGGAGTTTGAAGCCCAGGTGTGATATGTCACGCTTTCTTCTGCTGACTGGTATTTCACACTGTTTTTGTGGCTTTTGATCACATGACCGCTAAATGGAGAACAGGAAGTGGGTGAGAACTGAAACTGTGACATTTTAACAAGTGTCAGCTCATTTTTAATTGACAGTTGAACTCATGTAGCCTCAAGCTATGCAAATCTGCAATAGTTTTTCTCCTTACATTGTTAAATGACAAAAGTGCCATCATTATCTTTGTTCCAGAGAACAAACTGAACATACAGGTTAGGCATTTCTCTCAGCTGACAGAATTTGATGAAAATGTTTTTGTCAGTTATCTGTAGGCTAGGTACTAGCTTTTGTGTGCCTTTAGTGTTTCATAAATGTAGAGCTCTCGTATCAGATAGTCAGTTTTGCTCATATTGTCATTGACACCTGGCAGTATATAGAGGTCCATGTACAGTATTTGTAATATTTATGTTTTTTCTTTACAAACTGTTGTTACAATGGTTACATCAACCTGTGTATTGTGATAGCCCTGCAGATTCTGTCTGCTGGCGAAGAGAAAACAGCTACAACTCT